AGGTGGGTGGGTGGGCAGGTAGGCGGCTTGTGGCCTCTCAGTTCAGAGAGGCGTAACCTTGGTCACATACCCAGTCACTCTCAGAGCCTCACTGTCTTCATCTGCGACATGGGACTAGCACCGCCTGCCTCCTTCTCCCTAGGTCACCGGCAGGAAGCAAGGAGCTGAGGGCAGCCTCAGCCAAACGAGGGGCCTCCTCTGCCGTGGGCACAGTGCTGCTTCAATGGCTGATTCCAAAGCATCGGGAATCATCAGGGGAGGGAACATCCAACCCGCAGACAGGCACCCAGCATGGGCTCCCATGCCATGAGGCTCTTGATGGGGAGGCTGGCCAGATGCCTGCACGGACACAGGGCCGGAGGGCCACGACGGCCAGACACACTGCGATCTGACAAGGGGCGCAGTGCAGGGCTGGCATTGGCAAGCACTGGTCCCCCAGGGGCTCCTGCCGTGAGACTGGCCATCAGTGCTCGTTACTCACAGGACAGCTGGGCACCACCAACTGTTCCGTTTGCCCACCGCACAGGTGGCGGGAGAAAGAGGGCTGGGGGTGGGCCCAAACAGCCCCCCGCCACGCGCTGCAGGGCCTCCTACCCAGGGGCACCCACGGTTCACCAGAACAGAGCAGGGCAGGGGAGGCAGAAGGCAAGGCTGGGCAGCAATGGGACAGACAGGGAAGGTCCTTGGGTCCAAGCACAGTGTTCAGTGGGACTCCACACAGCGGGCCGGGCTCAGCTCTGCCCCGGAGCCTCCTCTGGGCTGGTCAGGCTTAGTATGGGGACCATCTGGAGAGGGGCGAAGGCCTTTCCAACGGATGCCGACACCAGGAAGGGACACACAGTGTCAGCCGCAGCCTGTGTCCCTCAGAGCACGTTTGGTCCCACCACCAGCCCCTGCCCCAGGCAGGATGGCTCAGGTTCCAAGAAGTGGCAAGAGCAGCCGAGGGTACCCTGGCAAGGAGGTGGCCAAGGACATGAGGCTCAGACGCAGCCTCGGTGACCCCGCCCCACGCCAGGCGCAGGGTGGCCTGAACACAGAGCTGCCCCCTGCCCTGAGCCAGCTAGGCTGGCCCCCTGCAGAGATCTTTCTCCTCCCAGGGACCCAGCTGCCAAAAAGCCTTTCTGTGGAGAGCTGAGCCTCATCCCACACCAGCTGTCTCACCGGCCTGACCCAGGGCAGGTCTCTGGGGATCCCACAAGGAATGCCCAGTGGGACCCCCGCAGGGCAGGATCAAACCACAAAGCCCCACTCCACCCAGCCTGTGTGTCCACGACCTGCAGCCTCTGTGCACCTGGCTCATGTCCTGGGTCACAGGTGTGTTCCCAAGAGTGCAGTACCCAGCGGTGAGCTCCGGTGTGTGGCAGAGATGCTGGGGACAGTTGGTGGGGCAAAAAGTGTACAAACAGGCACATGCCCGGCACCTGAGTGCATGCTGTGTGTGGGTGTGTGTCCACACGGGGGTCACAGGCACACCTGGGCTTCCCTGTGGGCGCCCCCGAGTGAGCCCGGCCTCTGGCTCTGAGCACAAGCCCACTGGCCTTCGAGAGTGCAAGGCGTGCGTGTGGTCTAGGCAGCTGCGGGGCTGGTATGTGCACAGGCTGGCGTGTCAGTGGGCAAAAGGCACAGCGGTGCACACCCACAGGCACTGCACACAGGCATGCACTCACAGGCTGTCCCGTAGCTCCTGCGTGTCACTCGGCGTTCCCAAGGACCGGAGGCTCTGCTCCAAGGAGGTCACTGTCAAGAGAAGGGGGACAGGTGTAAGGAGCAGAGGCCCCTGCCAGGCACTGCCCAGACTCCAGGGTGCGTGCCCCCCACTGGCAGCCCAAAGACATGGAGGCCAGGACCTGGGAGACCATCTGAGCAACCATGTGCCTGCCAGGCCAGGACACTAAGGATGGCAGTGCCAGGGGCCTCATGGCTGGCACAGCATGGCCCCACACTCAGTTGGCCACACCCCCAGGTGGTTCCCTCTACCAGCTTCCTGGGACAGGCCCCAGGCCCACACAGGGCTCAAGTGCTCTTGGGAGCTGCCCCCAGTGGGCCTTGCCCTCAGTCTGGGGAGGGGGTTTCTCTCTTCTCCCCGCTTTTCCTCCTCTCCTGGTCAGCACTCTTACTGACCTGACAGTTCTCAGAGCTCAGTGGCAAACACACGCCGTCGCCCACAAGGTGCAGCAAGCCCCTCCCCCGCATGTCCCCCAGGTCTGCAGCAGCTGAGGACAAGCCCTGGCCTCGTGGAGTGTGACTCTCACCTTGACCCGTAGCCTGCCAGCCCCGCCAGCCCAAGGGAGGTTCTGACTCACTCCTTCCCCATGGGGACTGTCCAGGTCACACAGGGCGTGCGACGAAGGCAGGAGGAGTGGCACTGAGAAGCCACCTGCCGCAGGAGCCAGCACTGCAAGTGGCGGCCTGGGACACGCTGACCCACCTGCCCTCCCATCCCGAGACCCCTGTGCCTGGTCTTCAGGGCGGGCTGGTCGGAGGAGGCCATAAGCATACCCACCACCGTGCCCCTCATCCCCCGCAGTGCGCTCGGCACCCCGGTCAGCGGGCGGGCGCAGACGCACCATTGGAGTTGATTCGGAAGACATTGGCCGAGGTCTCCTGGAACAGCTCCTGGAGGTCACTCAGATCCACCTGGGTGGCTGCAAGCAGAGGGGGGAGGACAGTCACCGTGCTGCCTGCGGGGCCCAGGCCGCTGCGGGTTTAGTACATACCTAGAGCCACCGCGAGCAGCCCCAAAACCAGGGCTGGGGCTGGGGGCGGACGTACAGGGAGAGGAGGGAGGAAACCGCCAATATTCTGGGCAAGGACGCCAGGCAGGTCAGGCCCAGGAGCAGGGTCAGGGCCAGGCCGCCAGCAGGTCCGACTCCCTTCCCCACTGAAACTGGGGAAGCATGCACGTGGGAGGCCTGTCGCCTGAGCCAAAGGGAGTGCCCCAGGGGCGCTGGCTGAGGCCCACAGACAACACAAGCGGTCCCCTCAGACCCACTGTCTCCTTTGTCCTGAGTGCCCGGCCACCCAGCTGCAGAGGGCACCTCCCAGGCTCCCCTGCAGCCAGGAGTGCCGCGTGACTGAATTCTCAACCCTGGTCTTTGAGAAGGACCTTTCCCCTCATGTTTTCAAAGGAAATGGCCAGCCTGTGACTGCCTCTGACCCCGTCCCAGCTGGGATGTGACGGGAGGCGACTCCTTCCATCCAGCAGGTGAAGATGGCACAGCTGGAGCAACCTGGAAGCTGGACAGCCGTGTGAGGGGGGTGTGCTCCAGCGGATCTGGGGCTCTGCTGCAGCGGCTGAACCTCTCTGTACCCAGCACACAAACCACCAGCATCAAGGAAGGGCTGGACGCCTGACAGGCACCTGTCTCGGCAACCACCACACTGTGAGCCCAGTGGCATGCTCGGGCGCACGCTGCAGTGTGGTCCCCGTGAGCTGCCGCATTCGCTCCCACTCTCACAGCTCCTGGTGGCCACCGTGTGATAGGCAGGTGGGCAGTGAGACACTTACTGCAGAAATATCAGTCGTGCCCGTGCATCCAGCACCGGTGACAAATGACAGGGCTCGGGTGTGGGCGGAGAAGGAAATCAGAGGGGTCGGGGAAAGAGCTGACAGAACGGCAGACAGGCTGAGCGTGAAGGGGGCTGAGAAGAGGGCGGGTGGCTGGCGTCCTCATCGTGTCCTGTGTCCCTTGTGCCCAGGTGTCTGGTCAGCCGACCGGAAGGGAAGGGGCTGCTCACCACCACAGGAAATGCAGAGGAGAAACGCGTGGTGGGGAGACACGCAGGGGTCACACGGGTCAGGTGTGAGAGAGGAGCTTCTGGGTCAGGGGAGTAAAGACGCCCAGAGCCAGCTGCGAGCAGTGTGGGCGGATGCTCAGGTCAGAGGCCGCAATGGAAGCAGGAATCTGGGGGCCAACGGTACAGAGAAATTACGACCAAAACAATAAGCCGTGTTCTCAAGAATTAACGTGTAGCACTGGAGAGCACACCAGCTTGTCACAAGTGGACGGGGCCCAGGATCGCCACCCCACAAACAGCTGACAACTGGATGAAAGACAGGAAGCAATGGTCTGAGGGTGCACTACCCTGGGAACAGTTTGCCATCCTGCGAGAACAGAGCTAAGATCGCCAGCCTTTTCCTGTAGCAAGTCCCCCATGCGGAGCATGGAGGAGGGAACCAGGGGGTGGCGTCTCTGGGTCGGGACAGGGAGGCCAGGGTCTGCTGAGCTGCGGCAAGCAGCTCCCTGGGGCAGGAGCCTCACCTGGTCCCCTTGGCCTCTGGCCAAGTACACGTCTGTGTGTGCAGAGGGAGACCCCACTTGGCCGAGAAAGGGCTGGCTTTTGAGGGAGCTGTGAGCCGGCCCTCCACAGCCACACAGGGTCGGGGACCGAGGGAGTTCCCACGAGGAGTGTGGAAGAGCCCTCACTGAGTACCCAGGGCACCGAGCAGTGATCGCAGAGGGTCACGTCTTAGGAGGTGAGTTTGTGTTAGGGTGAGGGCTCCTCTTAGAGATGCCATAAAAGATTTTAAAACAAGCCTTGAAAAGAACAGAGCAACTCACAAGTAACTTAACTGCCCCAGAACAAAGTTCGATTCTCCACAAAGGCAAATCATCAAATCCAGCGTGAAACGATACAAAATTCACAATTAAAACTTACTGGACATACAAAGAAGCAGGAAAATGTGACCCCTAACCACGAGAGAAATCAGTCAACAGGAAATCAGACCCAGAAATGACAGAGGCGACGGAACGCATAGAGAGGAGCATGGACAAAGGCTGTAACAGCTCAGGGTGCAGGCGAGTGAGGGGGACCAAGGGCATGGACAGCCTGCCGCTGCTGAAGACAGAATACAACACGTGAAGCGAGACGTCTCCTGTTTGGGATCAGCAGCCAATTAGACACTGAAAATAAAGGCTCTGTGAACTTGAGGACCAGGCACAGAAACTAAACAAAATGAAACCGAGAGGGAAAGATGTGACAGCCGGGGGCCCCGGGGCACGCCCAGCAAGCGGGCTCACATAGGCAGAGCCGCATGAGGCGGCGAGCAAACAAAATTTCAAGAACCAATGACCAAAAGTATCCAAATATTATGCAATTACAAACTGAGAGTTCTAAGAATTGCAATAAGTCCCAAGCAGAATACATATTAAAAATAAAAAACCCAGGACATACTATAGTCAAACTTGCAGAAAACCTGTGATAAAGAAGAAACTTATTTAAAGGGGCCACAGAAAAATGCACATTACCATGAAGAAGAATATAAAAAAGGCTTCGTTCATCCTTCTATCAGAAACCATGGAAGCCAAAATACGAGCAATGACATCTTTAAAGGCTGAGAGAAAGGGAACAAAACTTTCATCCAGGATTCTCTGCCCAGTGGAAAAAGATTTCAAAAATAGAGGCAAAATAAAGATTTATTTTAGACAAAAAAGCTGAGAGAATCTGTTCCAACCAGATGCACACTACAGGAAATGTTTTTAAAAAGTCCGTCAGGTCGAAAGAAACAATAAAAGGAAACCGGGACCCACATAAAGAACTGAGGAGTGCCAGGACGGTAAGTATGCAGGCAAATGGGAAAGGTATTTTGTCACATTTTTAATTTATTTAAAAGATGATTATTAAAACAAAATCAATAACGTGTTATAACGTGTGCTAGAACAAACATACGACAACAACCTCGAGGACAAGAAGGGGAAATGGAAGCCACCCAACTGTTGTAGGGTTTACACATTATTCGCAAAATAATCCATTATATATGAAGGTAGGCTGTGAGAAGCTGAAGACATATAAACTCTAAGGCAACTGGTAAAAATCGACACAAATTGGCGTAGCTCATGAGCCAACAGTGGAAGCAAAATGGAATACTCAATTATTCTCAACACAGGAAGGAGGAGAGAAAAGAAAAACAGAACAAAGGGAGATATAGCCAGCAAATATCAAGATTGGAGAGAAACTCTAAACATTGGTCTTTACTCTAAAGATAAATGACCTGAACCTGAGTCGTCCGATACAGTCCCCGTGGGGCCAGAGGCTACCACTGGCATGCAGGTTACAGACCATCGCCATCGTCACCAAACGTTCTGGTGGACAGCACTGCAGTAACCATCCCAATCCAAAGCAGAGATGGTCAGATGGAATCAAAAGCAAACCCCACCATACACTGAATACAAGAAATCCACTTTATGTGTAAAATCAGATGGAGCTTATGAGCAAAAGGACTGGAAAACATATCATGTAAACAGTAATCATGAGAAAGCTGGAGTGACGACACTAGTAGTGCAGAATTCAGAACAGCACATATAACTACGGGGGGAAAGGGACGTTTTTAAATGATAAAGGGGTCAACCAATCAACAAGACAGAACACTCCTAAATATACATGCCCTGAACATCACAGCTTGAAAATACATGGAGCAGAAACTGATAGAATTGAGAGGAGAAACAGACAAATCCACAATTACAGTCAGAGCTGCCCACACCTCTCTCAGTGGTTCATAGAACAAGTCAACAGAAGGTCAGGGAGGATAGGAGACTCTAACAACACTATAGATCAACTTGACCTGAATGCCATTTAGAGGACACGCCACCCAAAAACAGTCCAATACACACATTCCTGTCATGGAAGACATGATATTCCAGAACATAAAGCAAGTCTTGATATATTTATAATAGCTGAAACCACACAAAAGACATTCTCTGACCAGAGCAGAATTAAACTAGAAATCAGTAACAGTAAGATACCTGGAAATAGAGAGAATTATTTGAAAATTAAACAACGCTCCTAAATAACCATTAGCAAAAGAAGATATCACAGAGGAAGCTAGAAAATATTTTTAACTGAATGAAGCCACAATATATGCAAATTTGTAGAAGTAAAGCAGTGCATGGAGGAAAATTTATAGCAATAAACACTTATATTAGAAAGGTCTCAAGGCAACAATCTAACAAGAGCAAATTTACCCCAAAGAAGACAGAAGAAAGAAAATAACACAGTTGAGCAGGAATCAATTACATCGATGATGGATAAACAGAAAAGTAATGAAACCAAATTGATACACTGATTAGAACAACTTAGAAAGGACACAAATTAGCAATATCAGGAAGGAGAGAGACCTCACTACCGACCCTACAGGCACTGGATGAACGCTGCAGCACCGCACATTAGGAACAACTTCACACAGATCAATTTGACAACTTAGACGAGCGAAATGGGTAAGCTCCTTGAAAAACACAAAGGATCAAAGCTCTCTCGAGAAAAAACAGAAGCACAGAGAGTGTTCTAACATTAACGAAACTGTAGCTCAAAATCTTCCCACAGTGAAAATGTCAGGTTCAGATGGCGCTTTGGTGAATTCTGCCAAATATTTAAGGGAAGAATAATACCAATTCTACACCGACTCCCTTAGACAACAGAGGAGGAAACGATTCCCAAATCATTTCAACTTACTTTACAGTCCCTGGAATCAAGACAGTGTGGAGCTGAATAAGCAGAGACAGACGAGCAGAAAGGTGACAGCCCAGCTGAACAGAGTGCTGGGTGTGGACAGAGGCTGGAGGGTAATTCAGGACACAAGAGTCTTCGACCAATGGCGCTGAGCCATTAGACAGCCATTGACGCTCAACCCCAAATCAACCAAACTCAAACATGAGCTCAACATGGATCATGGACTGAAATGTAGAAGCTGAAACTATCAAACTCTAAACGATGACTTTCGGACCTCAGGTGGGGTACAAGGAGTGAAACCACCAAAGAAAACACTGATAACATTAAAACGCACAACTTCTGACCTTTCAAAAAGACACGGCAAAATAAAAGACAAGCAGGGGGTGAGAGCAAGGGTTTATGACACAGGTATCTGACCAGTTCTGGCATCCGGAATCCAGGTGGACTCCACAGAACGCATGAGGCCAGCGGCAGATCCAGGACGGACGGTAGATGTGACCAGACGCCACACCCAAGACGGACACATGGCCGTACGTACAGGACAGGGCACTCGGCATCAGGGGGCTGCAAGCTGACACGGCGATGCGGCCCCAGGGCACAGCGCCCACAGGGCGGCCACCCACAGCGACTGCCCATGGGGCGCTGTGGGAACTGACCGGCACCAGCCCTCTGGAGACGGGTTCGGCAGTGTCCTGAAAAGTTAAACTTTCTCTCTGCATGTGACCAGCAATTCAATCATTAGGGATTTATCAAGACCCCCTAAAAGGTGACAACGCTGTCCATACAGAAATCATACACAGATGTCCACGGTGGACAGCTCAGCCAAAAACTGGCAACAAGGGGACCGCTGTCACAGTGGACGAGACACAGACTGTGGACACCCGCTCCTGAGCAGTAAAGGATGAACTACTGACACACAACAGATAGTGACAGTCCTCAACCGCAGGCTGAGGACACAGTCGTACCTGGAAGAGAACAGACTACGGAGTTCCTCGTAGGGGAAACTACACAGAAACCTACCCACGGTGGTGAAAGTGCGGTGGGCGAGTGAGGGGCGAGTGAGCAGAGGGGGCATGGGGGGCTGTCTAGGTCACTGGTGGCTCTTCGCTCGACTCACTGGGGGGGTCGGTGTGGCCCTGCCCTTAAGTGGATGCACCCATATTGTACATAAACTACTCTTGCATAGAGCCGTGTCCTCGGTCCCAAACATGGGATCCAGCCACCCTTCCGCCCACCCGCAGATGCCACCACCTAGCCTGGTTTCCCAGTGCCAAGCCCTAGGGGTCCCCTCAGGAAGCACCTGGACAGGCCCTCTGCCCCCAGGTCGGGGTGGTCCCCCCAGGGCAAGGGCAGGGCCTCTCCACCTTTCCCTCCGCACTGTGAGTTCCAGACAATTTGTGAGCAAAGCAGCACCCCAGAAGGAGGGGTGCCCCTCATTCTCCAGGCCCCCCACACTCACCCCGAAAAGGCGGGGGAAAATCCATTTCAGAGATTCTTCTTCTCCCCCCAAAACAACTTCATTCGCACTCAGTAAAATAGAATAAATCGGGGGAGCCTATCAGGGCTTTCCTCGGGCCACCCCGCCTTGCACGTCCATTGTGAGCAGAGACAATGGGACTTTCTGAAAAGACCAAAGAGAAGAAGTGCCTCCACTGTGCCAGCCTCGCATCTCCACCTTCTCACAGCGGCCCCGCCGCCTTATCTGCTCGCTGCAGAAATTAAGACTTCCAAGACGCTGGTGGCCTCTGTGGGTTACAGGCTCCCTGTGCCTGCTCCCATGAGCCGCCGGGTCCCCTGGGCGCCTGCAGCAGCAGCAGGCCTGGCCAGCAGTGCAGGAGGGACCTGGCAGGAACCCACAGGACACTTCTAGGTCAGCACAGAGCCCACTGGCTCTGGACGCCGCCCCCGGCCCACTCACACACACTGGTAAAGGCTGACCCAGGCTCAGCACCCCCACAGGGCCACCCCAGGCCGGGCAGCTTCCCACTCCACGGAGGGGTGACAGCAGCACCCCTCACGGGCTGCTAGGGGTGCACCCAGCACGGCATCCAGATTTGGGCAGCTCGGAGTGCTCAGAGGACGGCTGCGGGCAGGTGGCCTGAACCTGCCATGGGCGCTGGAGAAGCCAGGGAAGGGCTGGGACAGGCAGGGACGGTTCTGCATCTCAGGAGATGACCCTGCTGCACCTTGGATGGGAGCCTGCAGCCGGGGCAGGGCAGGGCAGGGCAGGGAGGCACACAGGCTCCTGCCCGTGAAGGTCCCCTGGCTGGGCGTCTACTGAGGCGCCTCAGGCTGGTTAGTGGCTAATCGTGCTGCAACAGATTGGCCATGTCTACCACGAACACGGTGAGCTTGGAGGCACCGCCAGGCTCCCCATTTCTCTGTTCTAGAGCAACACTCCTGCAAAGTGCTCTGGGATCTAACCAGATCCAAGTCTGGGCCGGGCCACAGGGGGTCCCCAGTGAGAAGCAGCAGCCTGGGTTCTGCAAGGGGCCTGCGGCACCCACATCATGGCCAAATATGGACGTTCACTCAGTGACCCCAGGGAACACGGGTCCACACCAGTCACACGGGAGGGAAGGTTAACTGTCTCAGGCCACGTGGAGAGGGCGTGTCTGGACAATAACCACGAAGCCGGGCATCTGGGCATCTGGAGACCTGAGAGGAGCTTTCCCGTGGGCGGGCCACCCCACACGGGGGCTGCTTCTGCCCCCGCCCCACGCGAGGGCCCAGGGACACAGGCTCCCACGGGTGAGGGTGCCTGGAAGTGAACCCGCAGAGGACAGGGCCCTCGCCCAGGGAGGCGGTGCCCTGAGCGGAATGCAGAGCACCCCACTCCACGTGGGCTGGCATCCGAGGAGGGGACAAAGCCTGCACTGGCTGCTGGCCAAACGGGTGTTGCTTCTGCTTTGTTTTAAAGTTCTTTGTGTATTGTCTGGCTCTGTTTCAAGGTCAAAGAGTAGGTGAGGAATTAGAAATGCCTAACTCCAGCACCTTCCCGGGACCGAGGAGGCCCACAGGCATGACCCCCACCCCCCCTCAACACCCCCTCCTGCCTCTAACTCGTGGTATTTCATCACGGCCTGGACCTTTTTTCCTACTACCCTCATCACGCTACGGATCTCAGGAACAGCACCTGCACAGGGGAGGGTTCCAAGGACGTGGAGGACACTGGCAGAGGGCAGCCACACGAGAGAATAGCCTCCAAGGACCCACGCCCCCCATGCATGTCGGGGTGCCTGAACAGGCTGACAGCTCAAACAATGTCTCCTGGGAAGAAGTGGCAGGGGGTTCTCGCTGGTGAGCAGTAAAGACCAGCCCTGGCGGGTGTGGGCAGGACTCAGGGAAGGGACAGCAGCGAGGAGCTAAGAGAGAGGCGGCGGACCAGCCCCTTGGCCCAGGAGCCTGAGCCTGCCCTCCAGCCCTTGCCCTCTGACCCCAAGCCAAAGAGTGTGCACCTAAGGTTCAGGACAGGAGGCCAGGGGAGCAGAAGCCCGGACACAGGGCTGGACAGAGGCAGAGCAAGGAGCACCCCGCACTGCCTTCCCTGTCAACAATGCTGCCACCCCATCAATGCCACGTCCGCTCGGCCACTCACCCAGCAAGCTTGTGCCCAGCCGTCCTGGGGTCCCAGGCACAGCCACCCCCACAATCCTCATCAGCCCCCAACTCTGCCACAAGCCCCCCAAGCCTGTGAGGAGGCTGAAGGGCTTCTCCTTGTGAAAGCCAGAGGTCAAGGAGCCCAGGACCCCAGGTCAGCAGCCCCCGGCGTGGCCACATCACGACGCTGTCTGGCCCACTGGGGCGCCTGTCCTCACCCAAAACAGCACATACCAGGAGGCCCTGGGTTGAGGAGGGGCTTCCGGGCAGCACGACAGGCGGCAGGTGCTCCGGCCTGACTCCTGGCGGACACACTCCCGACGAGACAGCCAGCCCCCAGCCACCTCCTGTGAGCGCAGCCTGCTTGGTCTGGGGCTGCCACCTATGCAAGTCTCTCATGGGGGCCATGCAGGGAGGCCGTGCCATGCAGACACAATGTGCCCACTGTCGAGGGGCTGCCGCTCAGAATGTCTCCCAGCCACCGCTGGTTTTGCTGTGCCGGCACCAGCTCATCCTCACTGCACACTGGCTGGGCACGAGAGCAGACTAGGCCAGCGTCCTGAGGGGAGAGGTGGCCACGTGCTGTGGCCCCTGGCTCCCAGCCAGTCCCAGATGGTGTGACCTGTCGGGGCAGCTTCCAGGCAGGACAGAGACCTGATGCCCTAGCAGAAATGCATGGCGCCTCCTCCCCAGCTCACGGCCCCGGCTGCGACGGCCTCACACAGCAGCCTGCAGCCCTCAGTGCTGCCAGGACCACGCGCGGTCCACCAGCAAAGGGCCGGGCGTTCCAAACCGCAGGTCCAACCCCAGGTCGTGAAGCCACTCAGAAAGTCAACACGAGCACTTTATTTAGTGGGAAGGACAGGACAGCAGGGGACAGGCTGAGCAGGACAGAGACGTCAGGGCGCATGGAAGACGCAAGGGTAGCGCCGTTTTGAAAGCCCCATATGTCAGCTGTGTGTGCACACACTGGCAGCAACAGAAACTGTATTTCTTACTGCAGCCACGGTCCTAAGGTAGGACAGGGTGACCTGGTGAAGAGCTGTGCCATCGGTCCCGCCAGCTCTTGCTCTGCGATGGGTGAGGGACCGGCCACGGCAGAGCTGAGGGGAAGTGAAATCATGTGACACGGCTGGGGGTTTACAGTGATGCCCTGTGCACGATGGACGGACAGGCGCGTGCAGGAGTGAGGGGCAGAGGATGAACCCACAGGGCGATGCAGAGACCAAGGTGGCAGAGGGGAGAGGGAAGCAGCCCTGTGAGGGGGCAGGAGCAGCCGCAGCAGGCGAGCCGCCAGCAGGGCCTCTGCCCTCCACCAGCAGGTGAGCTGGGGCAGGACTCACCTCTGGGCGGCTCCAGGCCCAAGGCCCCGGAGGGCAGTGTCTGGCAGGAGAAGGTCTTGGCCACCGCCTGCTCCACAGGCGTGAGGGCCAGGGCCTGGGGCTGGCCAGAGCCAGGGCTGGGGGCTGCCCTGTGCAGGTCACCCAGCTTGCGCCGCACGACAGCACGCAGGTCCCGCCACTTGTGCTTGAGGTCCACGACGTCGCGGCGGCAGTAGCCCAGGGCGTTCACAGCCTGCAGGATGCGGCTCCACACGCGGTACCTGCGGGTGGGCTCCGCCTTCAGCAGCCCCGACCCGAACAGCAGCTGGTGGTGCTTGCTGACCTTGGAAACCAGCACCTCCGTCTCCTGGGGACAGAAGTTGGGCTTCCTCTTCTTGGCCTGGGAGGCGCTGGTCCCCGCCGTCCGGCCATGGGCCCCGGCAGCCGAGTCCTTCCTCGGGCCAGCGGTGGGTGGCGAGGTGGGCTCTGGTGTCCCTTGGCCTTCGGGGGTGACCCCTGGCCCTGGAAAGGCACCAAAAGGTGGTGTTTAAGGCCCGAGCCGCGAGGGTGGGACAGCGGCTCCCAGGTGCCTCCTCTTTGCCTCTGATTCAGGACACTGGTGCCCACTCCCGGCCACCGCCCCTCCCTGCTGGGTGTCCGGAAGCCTGGGCCCAAGTCCTAGGCCACTGCTGCCTGGCTGTGTGCCATCCAACAAGGCACTTCACTTCCGGCCAGTGTCCATCTCCAAACAGGCCACTCCGGCCCTGCCTGCCTTCCGCAGCCATTGTCAGGGACAAAGGAGCAACACGGGCATGGTGGCCACCCCTGTCTGCAGGGAGAAGGCACTCTGCGCCAGGGCCAAGGCTGCTCCTATGACGTCCCTTGCCTGGGGACAGCCCTCGCCAATGACATACATGCCCGATGCCACGGCCGAGGGCCCCTCAGGAGCGCCGTTGACACTGTCTTTCCTACCCAGCTGCGTGAGTCCTGGCCTCAGAGCTGGAGGGGAGGCAGGTGGCGATGGCCTTCTCCTCTTTCCTCCTAAAGCGTGCACCAAGGACCCCAGCCTCCCTTGCCAGCCCACTCTGCAAGGAAAACCCAGGATCGGGGGCGAAGGGGCCACGTAAGGCGGTCGAGACCCCGGACATGAGCAGCCCCTCACTCTCCGTCCTGCAGGGCCAAGCCTCGTGCCTGGAGCCCACAGGGCCATGACAGTTTGGTGACATCCCTCCCACCCCACTAGTCCAGCCCCACCCCACCATTTGCAGTCCGTGGGGAAGACAAAGGCTAGTGGGGGGGGGGGGAGACAGGCCAGACCCTTGCTGCAGCTGCTCCCCAGGCTCCCCAGGCCTGAGCCCTGGGCTCCCACCCACTGACCCTCCCTTCTTGGTGCTCCGCATCTCAGGTGGCCTACCCCAGGACCCCCAAACCCAGCATCCCAGTGGAAGTACCTCGCTTCCTGGCCCTCAGGCCTCTGGGAGTGCCCGCTGGCCCCAGGTCACCTTCCCCGTCCTTGCCCACACAGGGGTCCTGCAGGTTGCTCTCTGGCGACGGGCAGGGGAAATGGCGGATTCCATACTCCGTCCAACATTTAGCGCACTCTATGGACAGCAAGGGACAGTCAAGTTATGCCCAGCCTGCCCGCAGAGAGGCTCGGGACACCACTGGTGGAGCAAAGCCCCCACACAGGATGGCAGGCGCCCAGGCCCTCCAAGCACCCACATGGAGAGGCGCCACTTGGGCCCACCTCCCCCAGGAAGCCCTTCCTGACTGCCATGCCCTCCAGAACACCACCTTGTGCTGAAAGCCAGCATGGAGTTCAAAACTTCAGATGTTCTGGCTCTTTCTCTGCACCACAGTCCTTCTGAAAGGTGATTTCAAACCAGGACAAAACCCCTTAGAGCAGGGCCCTCAGGTATAACCCAGAGACCAGGCCGGGCCTTCAACAGGTGTTACCTGCCTGTGACACAATGGAGGAGGCTTTTGGAAGGTTTATTGCAATTCGAGGTTGCTGCAACACCCAAGCATGGGACCGTTCTGCTGTATTTTATAGAAACATTGTTCTGTGTACACGGGAAGTGAAACTAGAAGCAGAAACCTGGTCTTCCCGATACACAGCTGCAGAGTTGGGGAGCAGCCATGAGGGAAGGGGACCCGATCCTGAGCCTCCAGGAAAGGACCCACCTCCCAAGGGGGCAGGACCCGTCGCTTTCCCCTCTTTCCAAACGGCTTGATGGGGAGGCCGCTGGGAAGGGCCTCCGCCCCAGACACCCCTGCCAGACTCCCTGAAGGCAGACAGTGTTCAGGCCCCCAGTCTCTGTCCTAGCAACTGTTGCCCAGACAACAGTGTGTAAGGAGGAGACCCAGCTATGCAGGTACCCGGTGACGGGGTCGCCATCTGCTTAGGGCCCCCAGAGCCCCTCCTACAGGGACAAGGAGGCCACACACCCGGCTGGCAGCCCACACTGCCACCCAATGACCTTGCCGAATGGGCATCTGGTCACCGGAAATCCAGGCCCTTCCCACCTCCCCCTGGTTACTCCACATGGTCCATTCAGACACTTAGGGAGCGGCCCATCTGGTCTGCCCTCTGGAACCACACGACCCTGAAGTTTGGGGGGTAGGGGTTGCCCAGGGACAACTCCTGTTTGTTTCTGATTGTTAAAATAATACACACAATTACAGGAAAATACTTCAATGCAGACAATTATGTGAAAACAATAAAGACCACTTGCAACCACAGCACCCAGAGTGGAACGCCGCCCACACCGGGGGCAGCGGTCTAGCACAATTAGAAGACTGTGGACATGGCTCTGCCGTCTGCCATTCACCACGTCTGTCGTCACATCGGACGTGGATGGAGGTCAACCAGCATCTTCCACAACTGATCCTACAAAGGCATCACCTCTCATCACGACGGTACTCACTCCGCTGTCCCCTAGCCGGGTGCTGACGGCTTCTCGGGATTCTCCCTCATAAATCACGCTGCAGCCAACACCTGTGTCCACATCGCTGACGGCTTCCACACAGTCCAAGCAGAGGCGTGGCTGGGCCAAGGGAGGCCGGCGGTCCAGAGGCAGGAGGAGCCCTCGGCCGCCCTCCTGAGTGGGCCTGCTCCACGCACGCAGCCTGGCCGTGAGCTCATTTAACTCTCTGGGTACCACGAGGCTCCTCTCACGCACCGAGGGCCGCCATGTTTCCTGTCTCCTCAGAGCCAGTCCATCACTGTGTTAATAGTCCTCCAGGTGGCTTTTGCAACGGCATTTACCACGTAGGTGAAGCTCTGCATCATTACCTAGGGCGTCGTGTGCCCCAGTGCTTGGCGCACAGCAGGCACTGGGGAGCCATCCCCATCACCCCCCAGAGAGGAGGGTGAGGAGCCAGAACCACGCCAGCGTCCCAGAAGCAGCCCCATCTCAACCACCGTCAACAAATCAGGACGATGCAGACCCCTTTCTGATAGAAATGCAGTTAGGTTACCAACCATTTCTAAAAGACAACCAGAAACAAATACACATGCTTGGGAATGATCGGTGTAATTCTACATGAATCCCGGGTCAACGAAGAAGTCATAATGGAAATAAGAAAATACTTGCACCTAAACATTAATTTAAAAACGACTTATATTTTTAAATGTTCGCTGTTCGGCCAGAGCAGTGATCATTTGGACATTTAAAACCTTAAATGCTTTTACTAGAAAAGAATAAAAACTAAATAGGAATGAGGTAAACAACCAAGTTAGGAGTTAGAAAAATAAAACAGCTCGACTCAAAGAAAGAAGTAATAAAAATACGAGCAGAAATCAATCACATTTTAAAACTAACATATAATAGAAGGGATCAAGAAAGCCAAAAGTCACTTCTTTGGAAAGGCTTATAAAATTTGCACGTCTTTGTCAATAATGATTATAAAAGAAGAAAATAGGGAGGTAAAATAAACGCCATCAGGAATAAAAAAAGGATGTGATCGGTGACAGCCAACGCTAATAAAACGGCAGCCCCACGCCCTGCGCACGCGCGCGATCGGTCCTCACAGTGACCAGGAAGCCCTGCTCACGGCCATTTTCAGGCAGCCAGGGCACAGCCAGCAAGCGGCCCAGCAGTGGGATGGGAACCAACGCGGCTGCCCTCCAAGCTGGGCTGTCCCCACACGACGAAGCTGCCCCAGCGTTACACTCCACACCAGCACCTACTCTGTACAGTCGGATTTCGGTCAATCTGCACATTTAGAGGAAAGCAGGCACATGTCCAGAAAAACACAATTTGACAAAACTGACCCAAGAGGAAACAGAGGGCCTGAGCGTTTTTACAAGAGAAACTAACTGGCAATCAAAAATCTTCCCGTGAAGAAAACGAGATCCAGATGGTTTTACAGCAAAATCTCAGAAACACAGAAAAAGCACACAGTCCTATTCTTCCCAAAACGCGCACAGAATATAATCACCGTTTCCACTCCACATCACAGAGGTTCCGGCCAGCTCACGTACAAGGAATAAGAAACAAAAGGGGAAAGCATTGGAAAAGAACAGAAAAAACTGTCATCCACAAATGATACCATCATATAGACAGCAAAACTCAAGATTCTACAGGCAAATGAATCCATTAATAAAGAGTTTAGCAAAATGGCAAGATAAAAAGTCAATAGACAAAAATCAACTCCACAGGAAAAACCTGGTTTCTTCAAGAAATAAATTTCAAGGAAAAAAAAAGATGGAAGAGAGCCTCGAGTGGGACCTAAAAGGCGTGTGGACGGATTGCGCTGCGTGGCTCTCACAGGCCTGTGGAAACACCTGTGCTGCTCAGTCGTAGGTGTCACAGCGGGTTCTGGTCGTGTACAGAGGAGTCCCTCTCTAGGGACACACACTGAATGAAAGCGTTAAGTATGAAAAACAAATCATGACAGCTTTAGAGGAAAGTAAAGGTAAAGTCGTTATCATCTTGTAACAATTTATTAACAAGACAGAGAGATGAAACCACGACAGGAATGGCTGGTTAGTCAGGAGCGGCACAGTCAAGAACATCTGTCGCTCAGCAGGCACCACCCGGAGAGGGAGCCCAGCCGGGGACGTTTACGGCACGTCTGACAAACTTCCACTGCCACGATCCGTACGGAACCCTTGCAAATCCATCAGAACAAGACAAACGCAAGAAAAAAACAAACAGAAATATGAACGGAAGGAGAAGACCCAAGTGCCTAACACACAGGAAAAACTGATTAATCCCTTCATTACCAGAGAAATGTAACTTCAAACGAGAGGCGAGCACTCCAGGCCCGCGGGCTGCCACAGCCGCCGCTGGTGCTGACAGGGCAAGGAGCAGAGGGCACGTGCGCTCCCGGAAGGAGTGAGAGTGGTACAAGCCGTCAGCACTGCCCTGCGAGGGGCTCAAACAGACCGCCCAGACCATCCCTCACACGCAGACCAGGTTCAGATGCCACAGCGCACTCTCATCACCAAACGCAGAGCAGGGACATGGAGGGGACCATTCTGTCCCCTGTGATCTCCTCCTCCTGGGAGTCACGCACGTCGGTGACTCAAGAGCAAACCCAGCCAGCTGCAGAATAAAGCGAACTGCACCTTCCATTAAACAAGGCTTCGAGGGCTGGGAGGCCCAGCAGGTGCTATGGAGGGACAGAGACACGGAGCAAAATCAGGAGGAAAAGGCTGACTCGGCCCACAGCCCACCTCCGCCTGGGCCAGCTTCACCCCTTGTCACAGGCAGCACTGTCCAAAGAGACAGAGTCCGCCTACGGCCACCAACACAACATGGCACAGCGGAGACCTGCCCACTGTCGTCCCCCACCTCCCTCACCCACGCTGCCAGCTGCTGTCATTACCTAGGGGCTGATAGCCTTGTCTCGAGGGTCCCCCGAAAGGGCCTCGGCTCCCCAGGCCGCCGCTACCAGTGATGGATCCGTAGGACATCTTCTCACAGAGGGCAGGGCCACCAGCTTCCCGCCGAGCTGAAGGAAACAGAAACCAGGGCAGAAGAGGAGACAGAGAGAGAATTAGTGCCCACACTCAGCGTGCACTCCGGCTGCCCACCCGGCCCCGAGCATCCTCACCCCGGCCATCCCCTGCGGGTTCTCAGTTCAGAGAGCCCCTTCCAGGGGACTGCTTGTCCACTGTCCCGTGTAGGGACACTGGGAACAAACCCTCCCAAAGCCCTCTGAGACTACACAGGTCCCAACTGCAGCCCCTGAGCAAGCCCGCCCTGTCTGGCTCCTGAGGCCACTGGGTCCCCCATGCACGCAGGTCCCCACAGCACTGCTGGAGCCGAGTGCTGTGCCATCGGAGAGCCCACCGGCTCACACCACCTCCCGAGTCTGTCCCCAGCTCTGTCCTCCTGAGCCGCACAGGATGGTAGGCGGGCTGGGGCGGGCTGCCTGGGGCTGAACCCACTGGGCCCACTCGCTGTGTGCGTAGCCTGGACTAGCCCCTGGCCCTGTCTGGGCCTCAGCTTCCTCACCCGTACGAGGAGATGACAGAAGGCCTGCCTCGCAGAGGAGTGCGGGGTGAGCAGACACGCACACAAAGGCTCACAGCAGGATGACAGCACTGCCTCCTGAGCACGCCACCAGGAGTCTGCCTGTCCACTCTGCACCTCCAAACCACAGCTCTAGGGTGGCAGAGGGGACTGCTCCAGCTAGAAAAACGCCACCTGTGACCTCCAGTGTCACAATTTTCTACCCAGAAAATTGCCTGTGCACGTGACCCTGTGCACATGGAGGCTTGTCTGGCATTGTTCTGATCTGCCACGTGCTAACAACGACAGCAGGCCTGGTGGAGAGCTCCGTGCAGGCCAGGCTGCGTGCTCGGCGCTTTACAGCCACACTCAACTCACCCCCACAAAACCCTCAGCACTGTCAGAACGACAAGTGTCCCATACTTGGTACCTCTCCCGTCAGGCTTAGCAGACAGGCTGCGTGCTCCAACCTGTCTCCAGTACAAGCTGTGGCAACGTACCGTTCTGGGTGGGGCATGCGGAGAAATCTGGCCACAAAGGAGGAAGCCCGCAGAGGGAGGGCCTCAGGGAGCCTAAGCCCCCAGGGGTCCTCAGAGCACACGTTGAGAATCCTGATGGACCCTACAGCAAGGGCCTTTCAGAGAACAGAGAAGGGCATTGAGAAAGTGACACACGGGCAGGAATGAAGAACTCAGTAGAAAGGGAAAGGATGAGTCGACAAAGAGAAAACAGCAGTGAAGCCCAGGAGGCCTACATCCCAGCGATGGACATCCGGAGGCAGAGAAAGTGGAGGGAAAGGAACCAGCACACAGGGGTTCACATGAACACCCAGCACTAGACACGCCTGACCTCGAGAAGAGTCAGTCAGGAAACGCTCGGCTGAGGACATGACCAAGGCCGGTCTTGTGCCCGCCACACTTCAGCACCCTGGACGCGGACAGCACCCGAGCACAGAGCTGGCAAAGACTCGGAAACCAGGAGGACCTGGGGCCCCGTAGCTCCCGTGCCTGAAGGACTGCTGGTATGAGGGGCAGAAAGGCACTCAGACACGGGGGTCTCGAACAATCCCTTCAGCACCTCGCCCAGGAATGCACTCGGAACGTGCCCCTCAGGCGGGGATAACCTAGGAAAGAGGGCAGACGCAGACTGCCTGAGGCAGCAGGCAGGTGACAGACCCAGGGCAGAGGCTGTGCCCAGGCCAAGGAGCGCAACCGGCAGACCGGAGCTGGAAGAAGGTTCTAGAGGGAAGTCCTCAGGAAGGTGAGACAACAGGCCCGTGATGTGCAGGTGGTAAGACGGCGAGATGGAGGAGGGCTCTGGGTTAAGTTGCTGGAAAGTACGTAAAACACAGTGCACGCAGACAAGGCAACTACGAACTCCAACAAGATGGGCAGGAGACGAAACGCACCCTGGTTGACAAGGGTCAGCTCTCAGGAGTGTGTGTGGCTGCAACGAGGTGGCCTCATCCACCTGAGTGTGGCCCAACGTGTGACTGTGGAGCGGGGACGGGGGATGGGGTGCCTGTGGGCGTGGGCACGCATGTGTGCACGCTTGTGTGTACACTGTGAGGCGTGTGCATGCGCGAGTGTGGGGTCTGTGGGGCAAGGCACGCACATGCGTGCAGAGACTTCAATCCTCTCCTTGCCAGTCAATAAGCAACGTCTAAATGCTGAAAAGTCACAAAGTACCAACAGGAGCCTGTGATTCAGAGAAGAGATAAGTATCCGGAGATCTCCTGTCGGAATGAGAAAGAGCTGACTCAGGAGGGGGTCGGCGAGGGATGACTGCGTTTTCTTAATTAACCATGTAGAACTCATTTACTCTCCAAACTTGATGCATGTATAATTTTAAAATATTAAAGCTTAATTTGTACAATTCCAGTGAAATCATCATCTAGAAGCAGAGTGACGGCTGCAGGGGTGTCTCCTTGAGCAGATAAGACCCAGGTGGGGCCAGCGCTCTCCTCCAGTCTCTGGAAGGCGGCCCTAGAGAATCCCCAGTGGTGTCCCGGGTGGCCAGGCAGACCCCAGGCAGGCAGGCGAAAGGACCCAGGAGGCCTCGGCCCAGTTCCACAGACACACCCCACACAGCCGCCGTGCATCAGGTCCTGTGTCCAATGTGGCCTCGAGTCCTGAACATTTACCAGGAGCCGTCCGGAGCATCTGGGGACAAGGGCTCCAGCAGGAGCTCACAGAGACCCTGGGGGCGCGGCAGGGCCCCAGGCTGCAGGGACCAGGCAGCTCCCAGAGGAGGCACAGGGTCTGAGCAGGAAGCAACCTAGTGTAACAGGAGAGGGGTAGGGGCAGCACATGCAAAGGACAGACCACAGCCAGCGGAGGAAAGGACAGAGGCTGGGCGCGCGGCACTGGGGACCCGCCCGGCCCCAGAGCCCACAATGCCCCCAGTCACAAGCAGGGCGGCTGGACAGGGCTGAGGGGCAGAGGCAGTGGCAGGGGAGAGAAGGGTGGCAAGCTGCCGCGGTCTGCGCAGCGGGGGAAGAGGGAGGACCCCGCCCGCCTCACTGACCCACACCCTCGTTTTGCTGCGCCTGGAACATGCCCACCTGTTTGCTGGGCAGACTGGGAGCCACAGAGTCAGCCCAGCAGGAAGGCGCTATCCGAGAGCAGGAAACCCAGTGCAGGTCCCCTGCCTGCTGCTTGGTGCCGGACCTGGTGGCCACGCTGGGCTTCGAACCCTGGGGGACTGGGATCCAGCAAGCCCGTTGACCCACTGCTGGGAGACCACAAGGGGCCGGGGGGCACTCAGATGCCAACGCAAACCCCAGTTCTCCGTGCCCTGTGCCCCGGCTACGCCCTCTGCCTCCTCCCCGCTGCTCATTCACTTCCACCCAGCTCATGCCTAGAATTCCCAGCCAAGCTGACCCCTGGGCGAGGCCAGCCGTGGGCAACAGCAGAGCCAGAGGAGGAAGAGGGAGGGGGCAGCTGGACAAAGGCCTGCAGGCTGAAGGCCCAGGAGGGCCAGGCCGGAGGGCTGGGCGGATGCTCATCAGCTGTGGTGCTCAGGAATGGCCCTGGGTTGCCGCAAAGCTGCCTGACAGAGGTCACAGGAACAATGTCTGCTCCCAAGGAAATCTCCCACCGAGTGGCTTCCGTGACCGCCCGCAGGGCTGCCAGCCTCCTCCGGCCTCGTGCCCCTGGGCTGGCGCCGGGCTCTTCCCCAGCCGCCCGCCCGCCCCCTGTCCCCCCCTCCACCCCCAGCAGCCTGAAGGGAGCCGTCTGTCCTTGTGCTGCCCAGATCCTGTTTACAGGGCACTAGAGGAAGTGAGGGTGCCAGGGAATGCCCAGCAGCACAGCCCTGCCCCCAGCCCAACAGCAGTTAGGAGGGCGCACCCACACAGCTCCCGGCTGGACTCCAGGGCCAGTGAGGGGCTAGAGCAGGGCCCTGGGAGTGCGGCCCTGGAGTAGGTGCCCCCCCCCAGCCCTCCTGTCCCTCAGGGCACAGGACAGTGACACTAGTGACGCAGCTGACTTTGACTCCGTCTGGGAGGCCCAGGCTCCTGCAGCCAGGCCGGGTCGCCGTGTTCACTCCCACCCAGCCAGGCCAGGGGCGTGCAGGCTGAGGCCTGGGCCACGCCGGACCAGCGTGGGCCTGACGGTCGACTCAGCCCCCATGACAGACCCCGGGCCTGAGGTCTATGGCAGCCTGGCCCCACCCCGCCAGGAAAGGGACGGACTGCCCTGGAGGAACCGGAAATGCTGCTCCCACAGCCCACGTTTGGGGGAAATCTGTTTTCTAGGGCAAAATGAAACTGCCAAGCTAAAGAGGAGAAAAGGAGCCCCAGCACCTGTGGCTGCGAGGGGCTATGTGGAGAGCACACCAGGCCAGGAGCCTCTCCAAGCATGTCCACAGCCGAGGCTCGCCCTGCCAGCTCCCCACCTGTCACCCCTCATAGCCCCTCTACAGGTAACAGCCAGAGGACCACAGGTGGCCGCACCTTGCCCAGCATCCAGTGAGGCCCTCCTTGCGCTCGGCGATCAGTGTGCCAACAGCAGCATTTCCCCAACCCCCCGCCCTGGACGCCTCTGGCTTCTGTGGACTTCTCTGACAGCACAGCACGTGGTCCAGTCCCAGCCTGTCCCAGCTGGCCAGTGTCCCCGCCAGTCCTGAGCCCAGGACCCCAGTCCCTTCCCTATAAGAGGCACCAGGAAGGGCAGCCCTGGGGGAGGGTACAAGGCCTATGAAGGAGTGCTCGCCGGAAACAGGTGCTGGCCACCCTCCGTCCCCACGCTGCCACGTCCCTGTGCACCGTCCCTGCTTCCACGCTAACGCCTACAAATCTGAAAGGGCTCCCGGTCCCCTGCGGCCACCAGACTGGCTAACACCCTGCCCTCCTCAATGCCGTCTCTGTGCGAGGAAATCAGAGGGAGGGGATCCGGGAGGCTTCCTGAAGGAGGCCACGCTGGGGGAAGAAGAGGGTTGTGGTAGGCGGGCCAGAAGGAAAGCTGGCCAGGGGCCTCCTGCTGCGGCCCTCCGCTC